GGGGGATGGCGCAGTGGTGGAGCGCCTGGAAAATTTTCTGCTGTCTCACGTCAGCAAAGATCGAAGGTTCGAATCCTTCTCCCCTCACAACCATATTTATGGTCCACCCACATGAGAGAGTTACTCATTAAACTACCTATTCGACTGAGAGAGTTACTCGTTAAAACTTGAGAGGAAGACTCATTTAAAGTGAAAGATCTGAGAGAGTTACTCACTAAAAAAACTACTAGGCTACGAGCCTCACCTTCATTTAGATAACCCCCTACATTGTACCTACTCAATTTGTACCTAGATTAAATTCTAGCCTACGTAGTTACTTGCAGGCCTTAAGCCTGCACGTCTTATATAGCCCTTTGGGCTGAGAAAGGACGTTAAACTACAATAATAATAATAATAATAATAATAATAATAATAATAGGCACGTCCTATCCCCACTACGCGCCGCGCCTCATAATTCGCCCAATCGGCCCTAGCTATATCTACCAAACCATACGTTTCGGGAAGGTCGTCAACCTCGCAGCGAATGGACCACTGAATCATGCTGCATCCTGGCTACCCGATGACACGGCCCAGAATATGCTAATGAGCCATTGCTAGGCGTCATCACCGAGCCCCAGTTGGCCTCCGTATCCCGCCTGCTCTTCCAGGACAAGCTTTGCATTACCACTATCAATATGAGGCTGCGGGCAAAGTGTTCAAATACAGCCCTCACCCCCAGGGACCCGCCGGCAGCTCTCCCATCGACTGCTCTTCACTCGTGTACAACATGAAGCTAATTTCCATCTTCGCTTCTTTGCTGTGCGCTTCCACAGCCGTCGTTGAAGCCGCGCCCAGAAAACCCGCTACCATCTGGAAACGACCCAAACCGCTCATTGAGAGGCGTGTAGCTGGTCGCGACTTCAGCAACCCAGAGATCCAGAAGAGGGCCCAGAGCTATTTTGCGACTGCAAAGACCAAGCGTGAGTCTGGAATTCCAAGACTGGCATGTAGACACTAATCGCTTCCAGCCTTCGCCGTCGATGGCAAGGCTTTTCCCGAGGTCAACTTTGATATAGGAGAGAGCTATGCTGGCTTGCTGCCCATATCAAACGACCCCAAGGAGACGCGAAAGCTGTTTTTCTGGTTCTTCCCAGCCAAGACGGGCCACACACCAGAGGAAATCGTCATCTGGTAAGCAAATCTCCATGTGTCTACCATGCAAGAAATGCGTCTCACAATTGACACAGGCTCAATGGTGGCCCTGGCTGCAGTTCGCTCATCGGGCTGCTCGATGAAAATGGCCCGTTCACGTGGCAGCAGGGCACTCTTGCCCCGACTCCCAACCCGTACTCGTGGAACAACATCACCAACATGCTTTGGGTTGAGCAGCCAGTTGGCGTCGGCTACTCCGAGGGCGTACCCAATATCACCAACGAGGTTGAACTTTCCAAGCAGTTCCGCGGCTTCTACAAGAACTTTGTTGATACCTTCCACACCTACAACTGGAAGACGTACATCACTGGAGAGTCTTACGCCGGCATGTACGTTCCTAACATCGCCAACAGCTTTATCAAGGCCAACGACAAGAAGTACTTCAACCTTGCCGGTATCAGTATCAATGATCCTGTCCTTGGTGACAACACTATCCAGCAGCAAGTTGTAATTCTCCCTTTTGTCCAACATTACCAGAATATCTTCGGACTCAACGATACCTTCATGGCGGCCATCACCAAGAAAAATCGGGAATGCGGTTACGCCCAGTACTTGGACAAGTACTTCAGATTTCCTCCGCCAAAGGGTCCTTTCCCTGTTCTTCCCGACCCATATGCTGGTAAAGTCCCTGTTTGCGACATGATTGACGACTTCGGTATTGCCCTTTCAGAGATCAACCCTTGTTTCAACATCTACCATGTCACAGACACGTGCCCATTCGTGTACGATGTCATGGGCATAGTCAACACAGGAGACTACTCCCCGCCAGGCATTGAGATTTACTTCAACCGAACCGATGTCAAGAAGGCTCTCCACGTCAACCCCAACACCAACTGGATGCAGTGCACAGACGTCAACGTCTTCGCCAACGGCAATGAAAATAACACAGACACCTCCCTCCCACCTACCATAGACGGCACGCTCCAGAACGTTATTGAGCACACCAACAACGTCTTGATCGGCTCCGGTGACCTCGACATGCTCATCGCCACCAACGGCAGCCTCTTCGCCCTCCAGAACATGACTTGGCACGGCGTTCAGGGTTTTTCCAAATATCCATGCACTCCTCTCTACGCACCCTATCACCCCGAGTGGAATGGGGGATCGCTTGCCGGCGCCGGCTACCTCGGCAAATGGATCAAGGAGCGTGGGCTCACTTTCTATACTTCCTTTCTCGCCGGTCATGAGGTGCCTCAGTACACACCTGGCGTCGGTCTCCGCATGCTTGAGATTTTGCTTGGTCACGTCAAGGACTTTAGCAGCACTGATAACTTTGTCGGGCAGAATGGCCAATTCACTGGCACAATTCCTATATACAAGCGCGATGATTAGGGCAACGTCTTGTGCTAACAAGACATGTACATATTCGATAATGCCAAGACGCGCAGCCGGTGTCATTGGTATATTGTATAAATAATGCATTTCCAACAACCGACCATTGATTGCCAAATTACTTATCTTCCTTGTCCTGTTTTAGTGTGTACCGTTGCCCGCTTCCCGTTTGCTTCAATCAGTTGAAATGGGTTAGCTAATCTTTTTAATTTTGCACCGTCTTTTGGCCCGCATCTAGCTCATGATTATGGATATAGTACATAATTTGCTCACCCATGTCTAGCCTTTCGCAGCCTTTCATCAGCGCATCTGATAGCGAGAACGCAGAGACAAGTAGCGTTTAATGTTCGTGGGCGGCTTTCTCTCGCTTTTCTTGAGTAGTAGCAAGGTCTAGTACATCTTTAGTTTGCATGCCTTCTTCCTAGAAGCTAAGAATGAAAGAAAGCATGTCCAGCGCGAGTGTTTTGCGCTTACAGCCTAGGCCAAAGGCCCGGCACACGGAGATCATGTTAAGGGTAGTCAGTCACGTGATACTTGGCAGGCAAATGGCTCGATCCACCTTCCGCGAGGATGCTCTCCGCTTTTCCCCACAGCCTCCACTTTACTTGTAGAACGTCGCCCCTTTTTGCGCGTGCAACATGTCAATGGAAAGACCAGATGACACTGCGTTGGTAAGGCTACGATTTGGTGAGTGATTAAATAGGCTGAAACTTAAGTACGGAGACGGAAGGCAAGTATCGCGCTTTAGCCTCAGCATTGAGCCACATTTGCTGACATGGTGAAACAGGCAGATTGCGACATGTGCGTGCCATTTGTATCCCACACGCCATACGAATACACTGTTTTCACTTCCAAATAACGTGTTTTATCAGTAAGCGGCCCACATCAGTAAGTGGCCCACCCCACCAAACCTGACGCGACGCTCTACTCAATTGCTCTACAGCAACTTAATAAAATTAAATTAAATTAAAAGATATTATTCTTTATCTAGCTTTACATGAAGTCCGAGTATGTCCTTGAACGTGGCACTTCGTGCACGTTGGCGGCGCGCGCTGACGTCGCTCGCCAGTCTGGTTCTGGTCACCCCCCATTACTACCCTTTCTGCCTCTGCAATGATCTGCTGAGCCTGTTAGACCTGGAGCACCCCACCAGAAGCGATATATTGACGCTGCCGCTCTTGCTTTTGTCGTTGGCGCTGGTTTTCTTTACGTAGCTTCTTAATTTCCTCTGTAAGTATTGTTACTGTTTGCATTGCAAGCTGAGCGCTTTTAGCAAGCTGGCGTATTATAACGCTTGTTGGGCTCTCTGATCTCCGGCGTAGCCGCTCTTGGAGATAGCGCACCTTCTGCTGAAGCTCTGCTACTGTTTGTGGCGTCTCTGTCTGCGCTGCTGCTGTCTGCATAGCGGCGTTATTGTCTGTAGTTGTCTGTGGTGGAGACGGTGTCCTAGCCACTGTAAGCGACGATAGGACGCGATCTGGACAAGGAGGGACAAGGCCTGTCGCCTGGAAGCCTGCCTGGATG